AGTCAGTGTTTTCATCCCCAGTCAGTGCTTTCAATCCCCAGTCAGTGCTTTCAATTCCCAGTCTTTGCTTTCAATTCCCAGTCAGTGCTTTCAATTTCCAGTCAGTGTTTTCAATTCCCAGTCAGTGCTTTCAATTCCCACCCAGTGCTGAAATCTTGCAGAAAAGTGCCATATCACATATATAAGCAAAGATGAACTTTATCCCCTACCCCAAACAATGAAGGAGGTAGCGGGTTGATAAATATTATAATAATTATTATACTGCTCACATACAACTTAAATAAATAATTCATACTTTTACATGTGTTCAAGATGTGAAAATGTTTGAATTCTCTCAACAAAATATTGAACACAAAAACGTGTTGATGTGCAGCTTTGTCAGTGTGTATATCTCTAAGACTACAGTTATATTGTTTTTAGTTAAATTTAAAGATTTAACATGTTGGAACATTTTGAGTTACGCATGCAATGTGATGTAGCAACCCCAATCAACTACATCCATAGGTGATTTTCCACTCATTGTAAGATCTTGTGTATTGTACAAAGGATGTAAACCGAACGTCTACCGCAAAACTTGACTGATTTGTTTTTGAACTTTTGGCTTGATGTGAAAATGCTGATCTTTAAGAAACTCATTGTAAAATGAAGAAGAAAAAAAGTAAATTAATATCAAATCCAGGTGTGAAATTAAAGTGGCCCACTCACAGTAAATTTAAATGTCCTCTCTTGAATATGGTATGACCAAAAATTTAATGGTGTATTTCAATATGCAGCTGTGTTGTTAGCCAATTGGCTGTGTAATTCAACTATCTTGAATGGCAGTTTTTAAGCATCAACTGGTATTGTCACTGATGTTCTCAACTGATCTTCTTGTTCACTTTGAATTTTAAAATTTCCATAAATGTTTATATTTGTTTTATAACATGTATATTCCAATTATGTGAAAATCACAGCTAACTTATCAAACATTTGTTGTAAAACAAAAGACACACAACATGCAAATTTACAAAGGTACATTTGTTTTGCCATACATTTATAAGATATGGGTATACAGCTCTGCTAGTGTGTTATACACATGAACTTGTGATCTGAATTTAAATTTGTGTGAATTTCAACACAACACAGCATACATACATTACTAGAAATACTAATGAAATACCATTGTATATTCCAATATGCCGAAAATGTGCATCGGAATTGACAATTACCTCAGTCGTTGGAGGCTCTACTACGGTAACTGTTGTTGATGTTGTGGCTTTGAACTTGACCCAAGATGCAAGGTCTGATTGTATACAATGCCAATTTGGAAGTTTTGTTCAGAGTTTTGTACATTATGCTCTAACTCTCACACACATTTCAATTTGATGTATTTTCATACTGGTAAACGTCTTCATCCCAACTAAATGTGACAGGGATACTAAATAACCATATATTATACATAATTCCCAAACTAATTTTGGAAATCTTAGTCAAAATTTGTTTTTAGCAAAATTAATATATTAACTTTGTTGTACCAATTAGGATTAAATAGATACTACCAACCCATGTCAATAATACAATAAACAACTTTTTCTGAATGTCAATGGGTTTTCAAAATTAGTTTTTTATTTAAAATAATCTGAATAATTTAACTTGATGTTTTTTTTATGTCTTGCTGCAGTTTTTCTCGTAATAATTATATACAAATATAGTTAGAAATTTTACAATAAAAATTCACACAAGTCATTTGAACTGCCTGTGAAGAGTAATCAGACTACCGGTAATTAATCGTTTATTTGTAGGCTCTAAGAAGATTGTCACCATGGACAAGTATGAGAACTTGGGATTAGTTGGGGAAGGTAGTTATGGAATGGTCTTAAAGTGTAAGCATAAGGAAACTAACCAAGTCGTGGCAATCAAAAAGTTTCTTGAGAGTGAGGAGGACAAAATGGTGAAGAAAATTGCAATGAGAGAAGTTCGAATGCTAAAGGTGAGATATAATAAAGTTGCTTTGTCAGCAAAATTTTGTTTGAAACCTTTGAAACTGTTAAGTACTATATATGTACTGGTACAGTTACCCTGGTATTTGCAAGATATCACTGAGTAGTTTGGTTGTGAATGAATTTCCAGCATCTTAGGGTGTCATAGAGTCACTGAATTACACATGGGATTCTATTTGACAATAAAAAATGAACTAAATTACAAAATCATTATTTGATGTGAAGCATTTTTTCTAAGATTGGCCTGAAACGAACTCTATAACTTTCTATGTCAGTGCTTGTCAAAGTTTAGGTCATACGTAGCTGGTACATTCACCCTGTGTATTATGAAGCCTACCTGTGGATCAGCATAGTAACGCATAGTAACACCACAAAGAACATAAAGAATGTCATTAAAGCTAGGAAATGAATTCATTTCCCAGTCAATGTATTGTGAAACACAGTGACATATGGCAGAGTTGTCAAAGTAAAAGGAAATAGAATGATGTGTACTGTTTTATTGTTTATTGTCAAGTGAGGAACACTTACCGGGTAATATTTATGTAGCAAGTCAACCGTTACTAGACCTGTCTTGACAATATAATAAGACTGACCACATTTGCATTATGCATTGTCACCACTATAACAATAAGCATTCTCATGAATACTGTATTTACTTTATTAGCAGTGCATAAACTATCAAGCATACTATACATGCATTGTGATTGTAATGGAGCAAATACAGTACATTTCCTCTGTCAGCAGACTGTAATTAGCCTTCTACTACTGTCTGCAGTTTCATAAATTGGATTGTGTCTGTCAGTTTATTCATTCATCCATCTGTCACATTCTCGGGTTTATGGACTGATTTTTTCCAAACTTGGTACTAGTATCTAGTTCATACGTATAATGGTTCAGTACCGACATGCACATGCACATGCACCTGATATTTTTTGACTCACATTACGTCTTAAGCTTACTGAGAAACATCCATTATTTTTTGGAATATTTTTGAAATTGGTAGCTATTTTGTACGTCATAGATATTTATTTGTGGGAATTTTTAGTCTAACTTTGCCTGAACATCTGTAACGTTTTCTCAAAAAGTTCTCTAGCAGATATCAATGAAACATTGTTACATTGGATCTACAATTTTGTTTCATGATTTTCACACTAATAACATATTGAAAAACTATGCTTCTGTTTATCAGTTTGTACTGGTTGCTACTGAATATTCATGATATGATAATGAGGCTTTATGATTTAGAACTTAATTAAATAAAATTTTTACTTAAATTAAATCTTCTACCAAAGTATGTATAAAGTTTGATGCAATTTATTTTTGCATTATGATTCAAATTTTTTTCTAAAAATATATTTGTGCCAGGTGATAGTTCCAGATAGTTTGTTTGTGTGTAAATCGCGATTGCTGGCATATAGTGCATTTTGCCACAAGAACCATACTGCATGTTTGGGACTACGTGACAGAGCTGTGTGACCCTTGTCCTATCATAATACCATGATGGCAATTTAATGCACTATCCTGTCGTCAACCAAGCCCGTTCAAACACAAACACTTGTGGACTCTAACCAAGGTTCGTCCAATGTTGCAATCTCAACCAGTATTTGTACCTTGCTATTGAGTTTGTGGCACACTCACCCAGGATAGGGCTCAACCATTTTTAGTATAATTTGAACTATGGTTTACCGGTCAGATTAAATGTCTATGTAGATTTCTCTCCTATTTTAATATTTTGATGCATTGCATTCACAACCTGTCCTCACCATGTCAACTGAGCAAACTGAATGAGTTTATTTTTTCCAAACCAACATAACCAATTTTATTTAATTATTTATTATTTTTTTAGGCCATTATTTCTTATTCAAAGACTGGGACTATGAAATTTATTTCTTGTTTATAGTATTATTAAACTAAAACTCTAACAATCATACAGTAAACCATTTTATTTTCACTGCTGGTAATGTTTGTACTCTCAGTATTTTATGATATTCATGACAACAAAATTTCAGATAAGTCACTGACAATCCTTGTGATAAAACCCCAGAGAAATTTGACTGTGCCAAATTTATTTGATTTTCATCAACTTGTCTGATAAAATGCTTTATCATAAAATCTTAAGGAAATCTAAGTGCAACTATTTTGAGTGGCAAACTATGCAGATGACCTAGTTCTGAGTTCACTAACCACTTTTGCAGGACCAAATCAAATCAATATACTGCCCACATATTGTAAACAAGAAGAACTTAATTTATTATAAACAAAAGTTATTTTCAGTAAAAGGTCACACACAAAAGTTAGGAAGGCCGCTATATGATACTAAACCCATTGGTTGTTTTACACCTACATGGAGGTTTAATGATAACATTATCAATTAATTTTAAGGCGGCATTAGTTGAAAAAGTTATGAAAACTGCTCTCAACAATACATAACATAACATCATCAACATAAATGCAAAAATATATATTTCTACTGAACTTGAATAGCCATCTTGTTATATGAAGCTGAAGTTCAAAAATAATAAATTTCATTAAATTGGATATACATTGTAACATTATCAGACAAATTACATCTTAAGTTTGTAAGCATACACCTTGTTTAAATCGCGGCTCCAAGTATATAAAAGGAAAGATGGCCGCCAATTTTCAGTATGCAAATGACACTCAAGCGTGAAACATCGTTTCAGGATGCCCCACAAAATCACTCTTTTTCAACAGTCTTGTATATATCTGTTATACAATTTCAATGTTTACCGATAATTTACAAGTTCTGAGCGATGTCAGTGTGATTTCCGCCTAAAAGCAACGGGAAAGCATAATTCAGACAGTCGTTTTGACTGCTCAAAATGACTCAGTCATGGATTTGTGCAAATGCAAGGTGTTCATCCCAAGTTGTTTGTTCAATCTCTGGATATGTTTATGTAATTACTGAGTTGATGATGTAAGTGATAAAATGGAGCTAATAAGAAATGATATGCTGTGAGCTGTTTGTCCAGTCACTTCTGAAGCGTCGTCCACGCTCCACGAAATGTCTGGCCCAAACGAAAAATGTTATGTTCCCTGAAATATATCCCTGCAGTGAAATTATTGGTGACCGACAACATTGCGTAAAAAAAATGTATGCGTGTTTGTGTTCAAGACATTTTTGTAACGTGCAAGTCGCGCATATATTTTTGTATATTGAGTGTCGGGCAACTGGGTTGCATAATGTCATTATTACTTAGCAGACCAGACATTATACTGTGCGGTCACTATATATATTGTGTAGGTCATTCAAATAAACCACAATTATTTGTGACGAAGTGCTGTTTCGTGCAAGCACAGAGCTAAATAAGGAGCTCCATGATGGAAGTAAGAAAACTGTTTTCAAAAGATTGCGGGGGCCCCGTGAACGTTGAACAACGCAATTCAATAAGTCTTTACAAATCGGATAATAGTGTAATGCATAATGTTAGCTTACGAAATTAACACCTTGGTTGAAATTATAACAGCTGTGTACCAGGTAAACAACTGGCTGGGCGCACTTGTGCAATCCCTGGGATCGTGGAGACGCGCTTTAAAGTGCCTGTGAAATGACTGCTATTTTTACGCCTAAAATTATCATTTGATACATAAATATTATTAATTTTTATGTTTCTAAGCATGAATTATTTTTTTAGGTGAAAAAATGTGTTTCAAACTCAGTCTACGGCAACTTTATTTTTGTGTATTTTAAAACGAGGCTCCTCATTAGCTTCTCATTTGCATACAGAAATTCCCCTTGTGACGTCAGAAGGGGAAGTCGCATGGCAGCTTGCATTGCCGATACGTGTAAATAAGGCAAATTTCTTGTGCAGTTTTCTCGTCTTTGACTAAATTGTCACTTATGTACTTGTTCACCGAGGAAGAATGGACTATAATGAACACATAGTATCAATTTTTGTTGCATAGGGTTGAGTTAGATGAGAAATATGTCCGTTCTGGTGTAGCTGGTCACCGTGATCGTCACGGACACCGGCGCACGTTTGTACACTGTCGCTGAACAAAATAGAATTTGACGTCGGAATTATCTCGTTATTTAGCAGGTTACTATGCACGTCACTACACTGTTTTATTTCATCGATCGTCTGAGTAAAACTTTCAAAATTAAAATAAAAGAGAACATATTCTGACATTCTAAACATTAGACTATAGTGATCACTATAAAATAATTAAAAAAACGACAAATCACAGTTACTAAATAAATGACAGCCGCGTGGAAATAAATTGACTTTTTGTTGAAATAGGTGAACGCGTCGGGTCACGACGAGGGCAAGTGCGTTAAAAGCGGCGTTTAATTGGATAACAAAAATAATCGAGATCGACACACATACAGATAAACTCTACTAGAGCGACTGTGCGCAGATCAAGCTGCAAGCATGGTGGTAAAAAAAAGAACAGAGGTGTGAATTCGACATTCAACACCAATCACCAAACAATTCAGAAACTTTTAGCCTTCGAAAATGAAAACAATTAGAAGTGTGTAAGGGCTGTGTAATTTCCTGTTTGTCCGACGCTTCGTTTTCGTGTCACTGTCAAAATTATTGCTACCTTTTACCTAACAGGGACTAAACGATAAAACGATAATCACGATCGCAAAAAAAGTCAACTCATTTGAAACACTTGCCGGACGTCTCTCTCTTCTAAAATCCGCCTCTGTGATCATGGGCTGGTCCGGAATCTATTTCTTTCAAAAGTGTTGCGCCAGGTTTACGTTAAGTGGCTTTCGTCCACTGATGTCGCACCTTCGGATCGATTAGAAACGTGTGAATACATACACTATGACTATACGTTTCACTGCAACTGCCCTCAACACAACACAACAACTAAAAACTCTCTCTCAAAAAAAATAAAATAGACAACAAAAAAATGAAAAAACGCTGACCGAAAAATGTGTATCGTTAAAACTATACTGAATGACGGCTCGGGGGTATGACTTCCTCTCACATTTTTGTCATTTGGTGGCGCACTTTCG